TTCTTTTTTCCATCCCCACTCCTCCCCTGCCTCATAACCATCAAAGATTGTTTCTTTTTGGGTGTAAACCTTTTCATGGGTTTTTATAGTAGTGGTCTCATATGATATTTGTCCTTTTGTGATTGACTTATTTCAGTCAGCATAATGCCTTCCAGATTTATCCATGTCATGAGATGCTTCACAGGTTCATCATTGTTTGTTATCGTTGTGTAGTACTCCACTGTGTGTATGTGCCATAGTTTATTTATCCATTCATTTGTCGATGGGCACCTTGGTTGTTTCCATCTTTTTGCTGTTGTGAACAATGCTGCAATGAACATGGGTGTGCATATGTCTATTTATGTGACAGCTCTTCTTTCTCTAGGATATGTTCCTAGGAGTGGGATTGCTGGATCGTATGGTATTTCTATTTCTAGCTTTCTAAGGAAGCACCAAATCGATTTCCAAAATGGTTGTACCATTTTGCAATCCCACCAGCAGTGCGTAAGAGTTCCAATCTCCTCGCAGCCTCTACAACATTTCTTTTGTTTTGATTCATGCCAGTAATGCTGGGGTGGTATCTCATTGTGGTTTTAATTTGCATTTCTCTAATGACTAGTGATTGTGAGCATTTCTTATATATTTGTTAGCCACTTGAATCTCTTCTTTGGTGAAGTGTCTATTTGCCTATCCTTTGCCAATATTTTAATTGGATTATTTGTCTTTTTGAAGTAGAGGTGTTGGATTTTCCTGTAGATTTTAGAGATTAGACCTTTGTCAGATTTGTCATAGACAAAATTTTTTCCCCAGTCCATAGGTTCTTTTTTACTCTTCTGGTGAAGTCTTTTGATGAGCATAAGTGTTTAATTTTTAGAAGATCCTCGTTATCTAGTTTATCTTCTGGAGTTTGTGTGTTATGGTTTGTATCCTGTTAATGCCGTGTGTTAGGGCCTCTAGCATTGATCCTATTTTTTCTTCTATGATCTTTATAGTTTTTGGTTTTATATTTAGGTCTTTGATCCATTTTGAATTAGTTTTTGTATATGGTGTGAGGTAGGGGTCCTGTTTCATTTTTTTACAGATGGACATCCAGTTTTGCCAGCATCATTTGTTAAAAAGACTGACTTTTCCCCAGCTGATGGACTTTGGGCCCTTGTCGAAGATCAGGTGACTATAGGTGGATGGATTTATATCTGGGTTCTCAATTCTATTCCATTAGTCAATATATCTGTCATTGTACCAGTACCAGGCTGTTTTGACTACTGTAGCTATATGGTAGGTTCTGAGGTCAGGTAGTGTGAGTCCTCCTACTGAAAGAGTGCTAGTAGCAGAACAAGAGAAGGCAGAGATGGGTATAGAGAGGACTTAACTGGAGGCGAAGCAGAGGACTCTGGCTGGTGAACAGCATAGGTCTGGCCTTGGAGCTGCTCACATGTTCTAGTAATTTAGAAATTGTATCTTGTGTAGAAGCCAGTCTACTCCCCTGATTCCTTTTGGTGGCTTCCAGGTACCAATCAAAATGAGTCCCATTGTACCTGTTTAATCTGGGACCCCTTTTTTTTTTTTTTCCCTAATTTACTGTGCAGAAAGATTAGTTTAACTAGGACAAAAGCACTCCACAGCGATCACTGGTTCTCTAAGCTGTCCTCAGTTAAATCGTGCCATTGATTCAAAAACAAGCAAGTACTGGGGCTGTAATGTTTGTTCATATAAGCAGCGGGAGTCCTCGAATGTGGTCCCACTAAGTCTATAGAGGTGGCATTCCCCATCCTGCCTAGCAGTCCAAACACCTGTGCAATCAAAACCTTAATGTGTACACAAAAGAAAAGACAGTGATTTCAAAAGACAGACTGAGATTGTTGGTACTCCCAGGGTCTAATTCGGCTTATGAGACCTGGGAGCACTTCAGAAAGCAATCTCACCAAATTAACGTTTGGAAAAAGAACTTGAGCAAAACGTTCATACAGGACAAACAGAAAAGGAAAGTAAAAAGACAAAGCCAATAATAAAACCTGAACTCAATGCAAAGAGAACAAAGTCCGGATTCTAGAGACTGCTTACCCTGGATGACCTTCAGGAGTCTGGGGAGGTGGTGAGCCAAAAGGTTCTGCTGGCCGGGCCCGCATTCTTGATGTCCTGGTGTTGTGGAAATCGGCACGTCTTTGAAACCCCACTTCTGGCACCAAGAAATGTCAAAGAATAACGCTGTGTACTCTTTTGTATCAAAGCAAAGAGCTTTATTGAAGGCAAGACACAGTTAAACTGGGGATACGCAAAGTCTGCAAAGTGAAACTATGCACTCTGAGGAGTTACAGGCATCCAGGCAATATTTATAATGTTAAACCAGGAACTAACAACACATTCTGATTAGCTTACTAATGATTCATAGAAGTCAGGCAGATTAACAAAAGCAGGGGCTTGACAGTGATTGATGAACATAACGTGGGTTTACATGATTGGTTTAAAGAGTCTTTGTTGATTAATTACTACTTGGTGATCATAGGGGGTTTACAGAGTGGTTACAAAACAATCCCAGGACATTCTTTTCTGCTAACATAGCTTTCTCGTACAATGTGGTTCCTGGGATTGGCTTGCGTGGCTTGGTTACAAAAAAAGTATTTTCTTAGATACCAGATTAAGTCTGTTTAAAGGTTAATTTCTTGGAGTAGACCAGGCTTTTTCAAAATGGTGTTTGAGTTCAGGCCCAAAAGCATCCATCCCTTAGTCAAATGCCCCAATAATTTAGATTTTAGAGTGCTCTATCTCACATTACCTGTTCTTGGGAGGAAAGAGGCTGCAGAGCACCATGCAGTGGTGAGCCCAAGACATATGACCAGGCCTGCGTTGGAGGTTTGGCAACACCTATGGAGGGCCTAAGTCCTTGGTGGCAGTTAGCATTTGCTACTGTCTTAGACTCTAAATCACTCAAATGCCACTGAAAATAGGTACTGATGTGCTGTGGGGATCCCATGAACCAGGAGAGAATGTTGTCACAGGGGATTGATCACTTCTAGAAACTCACAGATGGGCTTAGAGTATGACATCATGGAGAAATTTCCAAGAAGCAGCAGGTACCTCCAGAACTTGTGGATTAGGGGAGCTGGATTATGTCAATAGATGAATATGGTGGGCTGTGGAAGGGAGCTGCAAGGACTCTGAGGCTTAGTCAGCTTTTGAGACATTGTGAGTGTTAGTACTGGATATTGTACTGCTCCTATCTGTTTGTTTTCCTGCCCGCTTTGGGCAGGAAGTTCCACCTGACCTTACCCTGGGCTTCTCTGTGGGCAGGAGTGGTCTGTGTCTGGGTTAAATCTAGAGTTTGGGAAAGAACAATTTAACTATCTTTATGGCAGGAGAATGGGGAGGGCTAGGGGACAACCTCTCTTCTCTACGGGCTCTAGCTCTTCCTCCTTCAGCAACAGTCACCTCCCAACCCCTAATAAGCTAAGGTAGACAGGAAATGAAAGAAGGAAAAACAGGGGCTTATGGCAGCCAGAGAAAAGCAAGATTACAAGGGTGGAAGTCCATTGTATCAGAGGTAAAATGGGGTTTCTGGGGTTCAGAGGCAACTGGCCTGTCGTAGATCAAGGGTCAGAAGCCTAAAACTGTCAGAAACAAAGTGACAGGGCTGGTGGCATCACCTTTCTATTTTCTGTGTTTAATAGCATTAATCAGCCATACTGGAGTCTCTGGGAGGGCCCAGAAGCTTCCAAACCTTCAGCTCTTATAGGGTGACACAAGCACTAAGCCGAGTTTTTTGAAGACTGGCAGGAAATGGAGACCAGAAAACACACAGGATTATAGGGTTATGTTTCTGTTCCATATGAACAGTTCTGCTAGCAAGGAACATTCTTCTCTTCTTCCTGTGGTACAATGTTCCTTCTCATATTTGCTCATGGTTGGCTACAGATCTTAACTTCATTGCTGCTCATTGTCCCAAGAACTTTTTAAAATTTCAAATACCAATCTGATTTAGAATATTAAATGGGCTTAAATGCTGCTTCTCTTGGTCTGGTTCTGGGCTTCTCTCCTTTGCCATTTGAAAATTGTAAAAACTCATAGTTCTTAAATCTGGTATGGCTGAAGAATTTGACAAAATGTTGGATTCTAAGTGATACTTGGAAATAATTTGTTGTCTATGCATGTTGGGAAAGGTTGCAGGTTGGCAAAGGCTGTAATTTTTTTACTTTCAATCAAGATGATATATGCCCTGAAGTGTACCTCTCTGGAAAGGGTCTATATTGCCGTTTTACAGTTTATGGCCTGTGCCACTACCAGGTGCTATCTTGAGACAGGTTGCATTGATGGTGCATTGCTCCACTCACCCTTGCATGACATGGAACAGCTATAGCAGCGTGTCCTAGGTTATCCCTTCCATTCAGCTGTGTTCACAATCTAGCAGGTAAATATTTAGGAACCACTAGTCCTGGCCAGTGGCTTAGAGGTTAGAGATGACCTGTCCTGATAGCTGCTGGTTGACTATGGTTGTTAGATTGGGTCTTCTCTAAGCTGACATCAGGCTTTAGTTTCCTGGGCTCATGGACCTAGAGGCGTATGGAAATAGTATCTCTGTCTCTAGCAGAGTCTGGGGTCTGCCTAGCAGAAACTCCCAGGAGGCTCATGGCTGATTTGGATTTTCCATAACAGATGTCAGGGCCTTTTAAGCTGTGTGGACAGGTAAGGGATTTGTACTTGAAGATGAAAGCTCCCATCTAGGTCCAGGTGCCCAGCCACTTAATATGGTGGCATTGAAGAATTTCCCAAAGGGAGAGTTCTATTCACGCTTCTTTCCTACATACTTCCCTATGTGGAAACTGAGTCAGAAGCACCATTGGGATTCTGGGCATAGTCTGGACTAGACTATATCTGGGAAGAAATGACATATCTAGGGATACTACTTTGGTATCTCATAGGAGCAGGGCATGATGGCTGCTAAGAAAGAGACTGGTCTTGGCCCTCAAAGAAGACTCAGGCTGATTGAAGAAACCAGGAAACTCAGGTATATCAAGTGAGCTTCAGGGTGGAATATGAGCTCCTGTATCAAAGCCCAGTTCATGGCTAAGAACAGAGTACTTGGGATTATCCCATTGATGGGAAAAGGGTTCCTAATATTTTACACTTTACATCCCCATATGGGGCCATCTTAATCTTGAATGTATGAGATTCCTAATTTCAGGTCCCTTCCCTAAGCTTAGGTGTTTAGGTCTACTGGTCAGCCTGGTCAAAGGTAACTCTGAGACAGCATGGAACACGGGTGGAGTGAGTGCTTTATCACAAGGAGGGTGAAAGACTTCTGCTCTAGGATAACTTTAAAGTATAGCCAAGATAAAGAACAAACAGGAAATCTATCTGTCCTGGAAGTATTGCTTGATATCAGTAAAGAAACATAAGGCATTCAACTCTGTGTGACATTTTGTGCAGATCCATGGCCATAGTGGCTGATTATATATCTGACATATTCAGACCAGAGGAGAAGCTATCCAGCTAGGCCTCTTTGTAGATTTTCACAATGGGGCTAACGGATTACTTCCTTCTTATTTAGTTAAAGCTGATTCCATTACAACTGATACTTCTGTTGGTTCCTTATGTACATGAAATTCGGCATGGATCACTGTTATTCACTTTGGTGAAAAAGTCAGTGACATGGCACTTATAGCCATGCTGTTTAAAGACTTCAGTCATTGCTTCTACCATCACAAAGCCAGGGTGGGGGTGCCGTAAAGCAATATGTTCTGCCTGGGTGGGATAGATGATGAAATAATCACTGAAGGTGGGCAGCCTCCTCCTCTTCTCTGATATGGTATCAGCGTCCATGGGTTCATCATCTGTTTCAACACTATTGTCTCTTCTGTCTCCTCTGCAGGCCCGGATTATAAATATCTTTGGTCTCTCTTGAAGTGCTGGAGAATTTTCATTATTAAACATTTCAAAAATATCTTCCAAGCTGACTGTTTCACTGTCTTTCATCTTAATAAAGCCTTTTCCTCCTTAATAAAGCCCTTTTCTCCTTAATAAAGCCTTTTTCTCCATGGAACATAAGAGTAACAAGGCAACAGGAAATTTCATCTTTAATTTCATTTAGTCCATCTCTCTCTCACTTGGCCAGTCGTGCTTCCTCTCGGCCCCCCGCTTGGGCCTGGCCTCCTCTTGGCCCCCTGCTCGGGCCTGGCCTCCTCTCGGTCCCCCGCTCAGACTTGTGTTACAGCTTTTTAGCTCCACCAACAAGTACCTGAAGGCACCCACTCTGCCAGCAAGCCTCCTGCCCAAAGGCCCTCGGCTTTCTTGCTCTGTGGGTCAGCTAGCTCACTCTAGATGCCTTGCTCCATGTGCTAGGAAGCACACCATGTTGTCTGGCGCTATTCTTGTGGTTCTGCTGCCACTGCTCCAGTGTTAGCTCTATGTCCTTGGTCTAGGAGGTTCTCAGCACCGGGACTCTGGCTCCAAAGGGTGCACTCTGCTCCAGACTTTTCTCCTTGGTGATAGTGAGGTCCCTCGCAACCTCTGTGGGATGGGTACTCAACATAGGCAAGTGGCTCAATCCTGTTAGGCAGATTTTACATGCCCTACTTGCATGATACCTGATCAATTCCCTCTATGGACTAAACTGGCCAATCTACTTGTAAGAAGTTCTGTCTTTTTTTCATAGTAACTGACATTTGCTGCTGGCAGGGACTGGCTTCTTCCCTGGTCAAATGTAATAAGCTTCTTCAAAGGACTAGGGCAACTGTGACAACTCCTCAGGGCCTAGGGAAAATTCTCCCAAGCACTTTTCTTTTTCTCTTTTCCTAAGAACTAAGACAAAAGGCCACATAAAGAAACTCGTTTCACCACATCATGTCAACAAATCTAGTATGTAAGATATTTAAAAGTATTTTGTTACATTTTTATAAAATGTGTCATATGCCTGTAAATTACTGGCCATCCTGTCTGTCTGAGTTATCTAGTACTGCTATAACAGAAATACCACAAATGGGTGGCTTTAACAAACAAATTTATTTTCTCATAGTTTAGGAGGCTAGAAGTCTGAATTCAGAGTGCCGGCTCAAGGGGAATGCTTTCTGTCAGGCTAGAGGAAGTTCTATGTCTGTTCATCTCCTGCTTCCTGGTTCCTTGGATATCTCCATGTGTCTTGGCATCTATCTTACCCTGTCTCTCTCTCTGCTGGCTTATTTAATCTCTTTTATATCTCAAAAGAGATTGACTCAAGAATATACCCTATACTAATCCTTCCTAATTAACATAACAAAGACAACCCATTCCCAAATGGGATTATAATCACAGGCATAGAGGTTAGGATTTACAGCACATATTTTGAGGAATACAATTCAATCTGTAACACTGTCTCTTCCCTGTTTGGTCCCATCTGATACCTCTACCTTAGGTACACATCTAGTCTGTTTTATCTGTTACACGATACTCCATGGCATGCATCCACCATACCTGTCCCAGCTGGTCTCCCAGGAATGGACACCGAACTGCCTTTATCTCTCTGTTGCCACAAACAATACTGAAAAGAACATCCTTTTAACATGAACCCTTATAAACCTGTTGGACTCATATTTTGGGTTCTACTCCCAAGAATAGAATTGCTTAATTTGACTAGGTAGTGCCAGATTGTTTTCCAGAATGGCTACCCTGGTACACGTTCTCCTGGCGATGCATCCCTACTAGTATTCCATATCATCCAGCTTTCTACCACTTGGCCGGTTTAATGGGCATAAAGGGATCCTATTCTGTTTGCATTTGAGTTTGCACATTTCTTAATATAGTAGCACTTTGATTATTCTTGACTGTGCCTTTTATTTTGGAGTTATCCATCTGTCTCATTCAGGAATTACTTTTATTAAAAAAATAATAGTCCCTTGTGGGTTTTAGATTTGCATCCCAGTCTGTTGTTTGACATAACTTTATTCGTAGTATCTTCCATTGAACAGAAAATTTTATTTTGATCAAACTCAACTTTTGTTTTTTGCTTTGTAGTTCATGCTATTAGGGTGTTAAGAAGTTGTTTTCTACCCTACCCCAGGTCACATAATCTATATTTTCTTTTATTAGGTCTTTAATTAATTTGGACTTCTTTTTTTTTTTTTTTTTTTAACAGAAATAACAGTGACTAAAGAGACTTTCTAAAAACGTTAGGAACATAGAGTAATACAGTGTCCACTTATTTTTCTCTAGAGTAAGCTGGTTTCCTCACATTTAGACAAGCTTGTCCTTCCCTGTTGTGGTAGCCCCTTTATCATTGTTAGCACCTATGTACACGTGGGCCTTGTTTGTTTGGTCTTTTGTCTGTTCTTTCACAAACAAATACCATACTAACTCTATTACTACGTCCCTGTATTGACAGGGGAAGTCTCCCTTCTTTAAACTTCTTTGTGGTTGACTCAGCTATTTGTGGACCTTTTTCTCCATGCAAGTTTTAGAGTAAGTTTAAGTTCCTAAAATTAAGAAGAACTTTGCAAGTGCTTTGAATTTATAAACTAATTTGAAGAGAACTAAAATCTTTAATTCTTTCAGGAGCATGGACTAATTTATTCAGATCATCACAGTATTTTTCTGTAGAAGCCTTTTTCTTTAAGTTAATTGCTAGAAACTTCACAGTTAAGGACATTACCTTTTCCCAGTCTGCTAAATTTGCTAAATCCTTAAATAGGCATTGAGCTTTCTTTGGAGAAAAAGCACCTGATAGACTTTTCTCCTTTCTGTATCTTAGTTTAGTAAAACACTTCGGTAGACTTTTTTGAAGTTGAACTTTCCTTTGTTCCCAGGATAAACCTTGATCTTGGTGTACTTTTAAATACACTGTTGATCAGCTAGCTAATTTCTAATTTAGTGGTTTTTTTTTTTTTTTTTGCATCCATGTTCATAAGTGAAATGGACTTAAGACTTTAAAAAAAATAATTTATTGTGTTTTTGGTGAAAAGCTTAGACAGCAAATTAGTTGAGCATTATGATTTTTTTTTTTTTTTACTGTTAAATAATTACTGTTACTGTTATATAATGTCAGATTTGAAGAAAGACCTGAATCTTGGTTTTCGAGGGTGTTCACTCTTCTTTCCCACCTCTGGCAGGCATTAAATAAGTCTGCTTAAACTGACTACTTGCTAACAGACGCCTGGTGGCGGCCACCTAGCTAACTTCCAGTTACTTCTCTTTATTAAAGAGCTTCTCAGCTCTTTCTACATTTATACTTACTTTCACTGAGATTCCCAAGGGTGCTATCCTGGGGAAAGCAGCCACTTTGAAATAGATGGGAGCTTATAGTTTTCTGTGCTATTAAATACTCTCTAAATGTGGATGAAATGTCCACTCTGGGGCACTATTTCAGAAAGCAGACATGGCAGTGAATAGCAGGGAAGTCTCCACCCTGCAGATGAATGAGGTTGTGTCAGTGATGCGGACTTCCTATGACGAGCATGCCACTGAGACTTGGGTCAGGCCAACTTTTGGAGGCAGCGTCACAGAATCTCACTCAGACCTGCTGTGGCTCATGTCAGATTGTTGATGCTCTGACTGTACCTATGGGGTCTCTGAGGCTGGCCCTAGTGACTTTCACTTCAAATTCTGATACTTTGGGAATAATGACCTGTCACTGAGATTGCTGAGAAGCAAATGCCTCTAATACCCTAATGGGTGAGGTGAGCTTTGGCACTGTAGAGCCTAGATATGCTTTACCCCGAGAGTGATTTATCCCTGTGTTTAAGGGAGGAACTTGGCCTTTTAATCTGTCTGTATTCAAGAGCTGTTCCTGAACATTGCCAACCCTAAAAGATCTCGCACGTATCTCTGGTACTTAACATGACAGATGAGGCCACGTTGTATGCCTTCAGGCATCCTTGTTGTCCCATGGGGGCTTGAAATGCTGTAGCTGCTTCCCAGGAACCATTCCCAGGAACTAAAGAATTTTCTGGCCAGCGTGGCAGTGATGCTGTTTCTCATGTAAGTGGAGCATGCAGTGGCTGTGACGGGCATGGGCACCTTGCTGGGGAACGTCACTGAGGCTGTTAGTTAATGCTCAATGACCATCTAATCTATGTGCCTTCTCTATTTCCTGGTCCCTATGCATCAAAACGGGTCATGTGGCTAATTCTTACCAACACAACATAAGTGGAAGTAATGTCACTTCTGGTCCAAGGCTGTGGAGAGTAGGTGTGTCTTCCCAATTTGCTTCCCATGCAGAGGTGACCTTGGAGGCTTTGTATTCTAGATGATATAGCTGAAGATGGAGCATTCCTGGGTCTATAACAGGAGGAAAGCCTTGCACAGATCACCTGGCCCTTGTGAGACTTGAGCAAGAAGTAATCCTTTGTGTTTAGCTACCTTAACAATTGAGTTTTTGTTCTGGGAACATAGCTTAGTGTTACCTGAACTGATGTTTGTCCACCATGGCTTGGCAGTTCCCCCGCTACCAACTCTGTCACTACCTCACCTCCCCACCTCACCTGTGACAGGAGCTGTTGCTGCTTCCATGATAAATCCATGTGCTCTCCAGAGCCATGACTCTGGCCTCTGGGCTGTGTCCAGGGGCTGAATACCCTAGTGAGGCATCTGTTTTCTATGATGGGTCTCCCACCCTGCAGTAAAATGGCTTTTTTTTTTTTTTTCCTGTGTAGAAGCAACATTTATTACAACAAAGGCCAAAACACTACGGGAGAGGATTGGTTGGGGGGAAAATTCCAGTTGACAACACCCTGACCACTTTAGGGACTCTCAGAGCTTTTCTACCTCATCCCTTGACACAAAAGTGGAAGATCTGTTTGCTCGGTTATTTCTGCTTCTTTACACTCTTGGGGAGTATAAGGAGTTGGCAGACTTGCTCTGAAGCCCCTTGCTCTAAAGCCCCTCACAGCTGGGAAGGAGGAGGGGTGTGGTGGCCGCATTTCTGTCTCTTATGTCTAATGAGGCTTGACTTAACACTAAAACCTGGTCACCCACACCCCTTGTAGACATAGGGTTTCTTCCATGAGTATGTCCTCTGATGTTTAGTGAGGTGTGACTTCTGGCCTAAAGCTGTGGCCCATACTGAGCATCAGCTCAGTTTCTCTTTGCTTTGCCTTCACCTGTGTTGGGTCCCACAGGACTACCTT